ATTTTGATTTTTCTTTACTTACAGACAGGTAGGTATATATAGGGTTGTTGTAATAATGAAACAAATGTGAAATCTACTGTAAAGTTGCACAAGGCTGAAAAGTGTTGCTCCATCTTCTACTATATAAATATGTGACTTCACAGGTTAGTAATGCTGTTAGTGTTTTTGTTAAGTTGGAATTATCCCAAGCATGCCTAAGACCTCTCTTTAACGCCGGATCTTCAAGTGTTTTCCACAATTCTTTATGTTCCTTTTCTATGTTTTTCTCGCGTTGATGAGTATATGGCTTGTATGTGGCTGTCAGCTGTCAAACGTGGTGCTGTTCATTTCCATAAACACCTTCAAGACATTGTATATGAACGACATAGTCACCAGGTTCCAACGTGTTTTCAAAGTCCCGTACAGACACTTTTGGACTACATGTTTTGGGCCCAAACTCCATTAATCTCCTAATAGCTGTTTCTGTGAGAGAATGATCTTTCTCCAGAAACCTGTACTATGCAATATGCCAGCTGAGCATGGAAGAGTGATAAGTTCCTGACAGTGTGTAAAGGGATCACACTTTCACCATGAACTGTTTATGTTCTGTCTTAAGAGGTAAAGCAAAGCCATTGATGATACTGCCTAAATTTCTAGCAGCTCAGATACTCCATCAAAGTGTTCTGTATCATAAACAAACTTTAGAAAAAGATTGTGAATCTGTGTTTGGATAAATGCTCAAGGCCAAGAAACGTGCTGTACATTCTGTGTGAGACTGTTTTTCAGAAGTCCCGTTCCCGAGAGTCTTCACTGTCCCAAAGCTCCAAAAGCTGTGGTGCACATTTCTGATCAATGCTGGGTTGGAATTCTTGGCTTTCCAAAAGTCAGGTGAAAAATTCACATACAAGCTGTAAGTGTGGCCATGGTCAGGCGTAATTTGATGATTTTGTCTGGCCTGTGAATGATGTTATAAATATCCAGATGGCTCTTGGCAGAGAATAAAATGTTCCCCACCCTTACTTTAGTGCAAGAAGGGAGCACTGGTGGTGTGGTGGGCTATGCATTGGGCTGCTCACAGAAAGACCAATGGTTCAAAACCATCAGCTGCTCCACAGGAGACAGAGAAGCCTCTGCTGGAGTCTTTCTACTCCTGTAAAGATTCACAGTCCCAGAAACCCACAGGGGCCATTCTACTCTGCCCTACAGTGCTGCTGGGAGTTGCAGTGAGCTTGCCTTGCAGCTTTTTTGGAGTGTCAGTGCAAGAGAAGGCTCGAAGCCCTTTCAGTGATGTGAAAGCTGCACGTGCAGCAAAAGAATGTGACTGAGGAAGAATTTGAATTATAAACGGGTCGGTGTAATCATTTTAAAGTGAGAGCAGATTTATGTAACACTAACGAGCTTCTAGGAGGCCTGGTTGGCACAGTGGTGATGCGTTGGACTGCGAAGCACAAGGTCAGTCATCCTAAATTGCCAGCCATTCCTTTGGAGAGAGATGGGGCTTTCTACTCCCATGAAGAATTACAGTCTCAGAAACTCCAGGGGCAGTTCTGCCCTGCCCTGCCCTATAGGGTTGCTGTGAGTTGGTTTTGACTTGTGGCAGTGAATTTGGTTTGGGTTTTTAAAAAAGTTTGTAGGATTTGTCAATGAAATGAACAACCCAAGGAGTGCCTGTTTATTAGCATTGTGATTTTGTACAAATTCTTAACATTTGATGTCCGTTTTCTTATTGGTTGAATGAGTATAATCTACTCTTCTGAGGATTGTATCTGTATTGTGTCTAGCTCAGACTTTTAAAATATGTGCTATGATTAGCTATTATCTACAGTTCAGTTACTTTACCATTTCTCTAATGTACCATGCTCTCTGTGTCTTGTGCCTCTAGTAATTTTGCACTGCTCCACAGTGGACATTTCTGGGTAGCCTTCCAGACTTTTAGAAGGAGTCCTGGTGGCGCAGTGGTTAAGTACTCAGCTGCTGGCCCAACAGTGGCTCTTGGGAGAGAAGTGTAGTAATCTGTGTTTTAGGCGGAACTTGGGAACCCTCATGAGTAGTGGTTACACATTGGGCTGCTCACTGTAATGCCCGTGGTCTAAAACCACTAACGTTCCAGGGGGAAGATGAGGCTTTCTACTCCCATAAAAAGTGATAGCTTTGGAAATCCGCAGGGCAGTTCTCCCCTGACCTATAGGATTGCAGTGAGTTAGAATCAAATCGGTGGCAGTGAGTTTTTTTTTCATTTGTTAGCTTGTTTTGCACAGCAAATGTACATTCTCCTGTACTCATTTTTATAGAACTTACTCTGTGCCTGTGATTACAATTTTTACAATGTGTCAGCATTCTCATTTTCATTCTGCTTGTTCTGCTTCTAATGATCGAGCTTCCCGTTCCATCTTTATCTTTTCATTCTTTGCTTTTGAGTAAATATTAACTATTTAGTCTCAGGTAGTTAATTGTTTGAGAGAGGTCACATTGCCCATGGGTGATACTGCTTATTTTATAAGCCAATCTATTATTTGGCTAAAAGGTAACCTACAGAAATAACGTAAAATCCAAGTTAAGAGGTAATTTTAGGGTAATAATCTTAGGAGTTCCTTCAGCTTCTTTCAATCAGTATAATCAGACTGGAGCATTTTAGGAATTGGGGTTTTGTTCTGCAATGTTTTCTCATTCTATATAGGATCATCTATTGTGCACCTAGTTCTTCTGACCTCAAACTAGAGAGGCGGTAGTTCACATTTACTGTTAGTCCATGGGCTACTTTCGTATTTGAGCCTTTGATTTCCCTTCCTTTTCTTTCGTTCTACAGGAATAGAGACCAATAATAGTATATTAGATGGTTACTCATAAGATTTTAAGATAGTGCTGTCCAATCTAGGATATAGAACATTGTCTTGGTGAACTATGATCTACTAGCTGACTAAGTTGTCCCCGGAGAATGTAACATAGTAAATCAACCAAGCAAGTTGTTCGGATATGTGTTGGAATCTTCTGTAACTGTGCCTGCTCTGTGTTTTTTTATGTATATGGATATATGTACAGCTCACACAAGCATGTATATACATAAGTATATAGTTACATATGCATGTGCATTTATCAAATTGTGTGCAATAGATTTACTAAAATTGTCTTTTTTTCCTTACATATTTCATAATTTATTTACCTTGGTTAAGTTGTACTGACTTCACTTATATTTGGTCTTGTCTTTCACATCACCAAAAGTAACAAGTGCCTACAATTTAGAAAATGGTTCTTTCTCCCTCTTCTTTCCATCCTCAGTAACCATCGGTGAACTTCGCTTTCTCTCTCTCGCTCTCTCTCTCTTTCTGTATATATGAAGGAGCTTCAAAAAATTAGTAGAAAAATGGAATTGAAAGATAATGGGATTTTTCTACAAACTTTTTGAAGTCTTTTCATATAATTGGTTCATATATCATGGCCAGAACTTACTCCCTTTTATACCACACCCAACTGCAAGGCAAGCTGGAAGCTGTAGTCTTTTGTGGCTTTTATGTGCTCACTTAAAAATTGGGAATTAAAAAAAAAAAAAGGGAATTGTTTCCCTAAAGAAGAAGATACAGTCTTTTCAGCAACAAGTAGTAGTATAGTAGAAATTAGCAGCCTTCTGTTTGACTGCCACTCGTGCCATGCTCTCAGTGTATAGGTCAGCTAAGGGGCCCTGGGCTCTTTAGAGAGGGTGATAAAAATTGCAGACTCATTAAAAAAGTAGGAAAATATACATGTAGACATAGGCATGGAATTTTGCATGAGTGTCATCATTGAGTCCCATCCATCCTAAGAGGGCTTATAGACCCACAGTTAAGAATTCCTGTGAGGGGGCTTCAGAAAGTTCGTGGAAAATGGAATGAAAAGATAACGGAATTTTCCCATAACCTTTTTTGTAGCCTCCTTGTACAATCAATAAAACTTTGTTGCTGTATTCTGCATGCAAGGGACTATGATGGTACTTGAAGATTTAAAGGCACCACGGTAATAATTTATGAAGATCCACACAGCTGGTGGAGATAGAGCTAAGCTAGTCTCGGCGCCCTCAGTCTGTCCTTTCCTTACTGTCTGGCCTTACTGTGGCCTAGGCACTTCCCATCAACACGAGACGCAGTGAACTTAAAAGCATTTTTGTTAATTTTTTGCCTTGAGCCATATAACTAGGACTCTGTTTGTGCCTCAGTTTTCTGTTAGCACATTGCAAAGCTACTTAAAATATTTAAATATGTGATGATGTGACTGTTTTGATTTTGTGTTTGTTAAACCTGTATTGCAATCAGTCTGAAATCTGGCATGTGACAAATGTTCACTGAGGTAGTTTGACCTCAGAGCAGTACAAAATGATCATATTTGAAAATGTCTTATCAGCATGCAAATGATACATGTGTCATTTTTTGACATTTGTTGAAAACCACCTTTGGATCCCCTTGTAAAGCAGAACTCTCTGGCTCCGGTGTGTTCTTTTCTCTCACAAGCACGCTGTTACACATGCTGACAGCAGCACACATGGAATTTAGCATAAAAGCTCTTTGCTTCAAACTGAGGTTTCTGACCCCACTGATACACAGATGTTCTCATAATTTCCTCTCTTCAGCTTGTTTATAAATTAAAAAGAAAAAAAAGTAGAAAAGGGAAAATTGTATGAGTAATTACAGTATTAAATTGGTATAGAAAACCATTTTGAGTTCTTTAAAATTTTCTTTTCAACTTTAGTTTCAAATCACCAGCTTTCTAAATGGGAACTCTTACATTTATTGGCTGCAGATGATGAATACACCCTTTGTTTATCAGTTGACACCGTTGCTTCCTGTTTTATCAGGAGCATTATTTTCTTTTCTGGTCAGAATACGGCTGGCTCTCATTGGGGAGACTCGCTTTGACTTCAGAAGGTTGCATAGTAAGACAGCAAAGAGGCAATGAAAGGCCTGCTGCTGCCGCTGCTTTCTGATCGTTGGAAATAAGCTATCACCACATTGTGTTTGATCACTCCTGAAGTGCCAATTCTTATTCAATTTTAGGACGCTTTGATGAAACGGTTATTGAAGAAAGAAGACAGTGTGCTGAAGATCTGCTGCAGTTCTCTGCAAACATCCCCTCTCTCTATAACAGTAAACAACTTGAAGATTTTTTCAAGGTTTGGTAATCTTTCTGGACTATTTTATTGACTATTTTGTTTTCTAATGTGTAGTTCAAGCAAGCGTCAAAATGTTTTTCCCAAGTAAGAAAACGTTTGTGTTTATATAATGTACGTCCAATCTAGTAGCTAAGTAGCAATATCTATGGCATATCTTGCAATTTTAGTGTAGAAATGTATTATATTTTTGATTTATAGATGTTAAAGTTTTTATACCAAGGAATAGTTAGAGATGATTGAATTCATGCCATTATAATTGAAGCACCTTAAAAAAATTATGTACTGGGCCCCTCTACTTGAGCCATCTTTCAGTGGCAGACTTCTCTTTGTGATACAGACCACTGCTTGCCTGTGGGTGCTGTTGAGTTGGCTCTGCCGTCGTGCAGTCGAAGGAAATGGACAGTGGAAGGAAACACTGCTGCAGCCTGGGCCGTCCTTTGCTTATGGCGGAGCCCTTTGCTGCAACCACTGGCTCAAGGCACTTTTTTGAGCTTCCTCCTCTTTTTAATCAACTTTCTTTTCTGCTTTCCCAAGCAAGATGTCTTTTCCCAGGCACTTATCTCTCCTGAAAACATGTCCGAAATAGGTGAGGTGCAGTCTTGCCATTCTTGCATCTGGAGCGTTCTGTCTGTACTTCTTCCAAGACAGGTTTACTTGTTCTTTCTTTTTTTAAATAAATACTTTTATTGGAGGCACTTACATATCTTATCACAATCCACACATTCATCCATTATGTCAAGCACATTTGTTCATATGTTGCCATCATCATTTTCAAAGCATTTTCTTTCAACTCGAGCCCTTGATATCAGCTCCTCGTCGCCCCCCCCATGAACCCTTGATAAGTTATAGATTATTATTATCATATCTCACATTGTCTTCTGTCACCCTTCACTCACTTTTCTGTTGTTTGTCCCCCTGGGAGGGGGTTATATGTTGATCTTTGTTATTGATTCCTCCTTTCTCCCTCCACTTCCCCTTATCCTCCTGGTATCTCTGTTCTCATTATTGGTCCTGAGGGGTTTATCTATCCTGGATTCCCTGTGTTGTGGGCTCTTATCTGTAGCGGTGTGCCTGTTCTGGTCTAGTCCTATTTGTAAGGTAGAATTGAGGTCATAATAGGTGGAGAGGGAAGCATTAAAGAACTAGAGGAAAGTTGTATGCTTTATCAGTGTTATACTGCACCCTGACTGGCTCGTCTCTTCCTTGTGACCCTTCTGTAAGGGGATGTCCAATTGTCTACAGATAGGCTTTGGGTCTCCACTCCATGTGCCCGTCCCCCACCGCCCCCCCTTCACATTGGTATGATTTTGTTCTGGGTCTTACATGCCTGATACCTGATCCCATTGACACCTCGTGGTCACACAGGCTGGTGTGTTTCTTCCATGTGGGCTTTGTTGCTTCCAGCTAGATGGCCACTTGTTTATCTTCAAGCCTTTAAGACCTCAGGTGCTATATCTTTTGATAGCGGGGCACCATCACCTTTCTTTACCACATTTGCTTATGCACCCGCTTTGTCTTCAGTGATGGTGTCAGGAAGGTGAGCATCACAGAATGCTGGGTTATTAGAACAAAGTGTTCTTATGTTGAGGGAGTGCTTGAGTAGAGGCCCAATGTTTATCTGCTACCTTATTTCTTAACACATATATATAAGTACATAGATCTATTTATCTATCATTATATATAAATATATTTACATATGTACATGTCTGCATTTAGGCCTCTATAAATGTCCTTTGCCTCCTACTTCTTTCCTCTTGTCCCTCAATCATGTTCGGCCTTCATTCGGGTTTAGTAATTCCTCACTGTTACATTGCCCTTGATTAAGCCCCACTAGGCATCCTATGTCCTTCTCTCTATAGATTTTAGTTTACTTGTTGTTCCCTTGTCCCTCCTTTGGATGACTTTCCCCCTCCTTTCTCCTACCTCCTCTTTTCCAGTGTGCCCCTGGAATCATGTGTCCCATGGTTTTCGTCTCCGAATTGTCTATCCCACCTATCTTATCTAGATAGACATGCAGGTTCATTAATAAGCGCAAAAACCAGGCAACGCCAAACAAAACAGCAAAGGAAGACAAAACCTACAAAACAACAACAACAACAAAACCAAACCAAAATAACAACAAAAAGAAAGCCAATGACAAAACAGGGAAAGCCTACAAATGGTTCCAGGTCTGTTTTTCAACCTTTAGGAGTGTTTTCCAGTCGAGTCTGATGGGGTACCACACTCTGTCCCCAATGTCTATTTTTGGTATTCCCTGGGGACTTCACTGCTTTGTTCCCTTGCTACTCTGTTACATGTCCTTAGTGTTTCGCTCCATTGTGAAGGGGTCAGATCAGGCACAATTCCTGCACTATGTCTCCAGTGTTGTCTCCCGTAGTGCTATGGTTCAGTGAGGGACGTTGTGTCTCATGGTGGGGCTGCCCTATGGTCCTCTCTGTGCATTGCCTGCTCTGAGCAGGAATATCGTCCTCCGGGATTGGTGGGCCAGGATGTGTTCCCCTCACTCTCCACCCCTCTTCCTTTCTCCTGTGTGCTCTGACCAGACGCGCCCCTCTCCCCAAGCTGTAGCTTCAGTGCTGTCCTCTGACATGCATTCTTCTGGTTGGGTGGGTGTGGGGTGGGTGGGGTTATTCTTTTAACAGTCAAAAGTACTTTCAATATTCTCTGTCAACACCATAGTTCAAATTCAATTCTCTGTGGCCTTCCTTATTCATGGGCTCACTTTCACATGTGTCTGAGGTGATTGAAAATTCTACTCTATGTTAAATTGTTTAAACTTATTAAGTTATCTAAACTCACTGCCATCAAGTCCATTCCTGATTCTTAGTGACTCCCTGTGCGTTTCTGAGACTATACCTAAGTTCACAGGAGTAGAACGCCCAGTCTTTCTCCCAAGGAGGTGCTGGTATTTGAAAGAATAGCAGAAACAGCAGACAGTATAATTTTGTAGAAGTAGTCCAATACAAATTACATTAACTGAGATCATTGGCTGTGTTCTAAGTTTCTTGGCATGTAATGTTTTAATTCTAAGACCACTTGAATTGTTCCCACTTTTGTGAAATACTACTTTTTAAAAATATAGTTTCTATTCTCCACTCCATGAGACACAGTAATCAAAATTTCTTTTAATTCCTTAATCATGATTTGCTTAATTTCTTTAAACATACTTTTAATAAGTCCAGCCTTGTATGCATAACATCTTGACTCCCTCAGAGATGGTGTCTATTGACTGAAATTTTTCCTGTGCGTGAGTCAAACTCATACTCCTCGTTCCCCCCTTCTTGGCATGGTGTGAAATCTTTTTCTTTAAAACTTGAAATTGTCAGTAATGTAGTAAGTCTAGGAGCCCTGGTAGCGTAATAGTTACACACTGGGCTGCCAACTGCAATGTCAGCAGTTAGAAACCAACTTCCAAAGGAGCAATACAGGACTTTCTACTCCTGTAAAGAGTTTCAATCTTGGAAACTCATAGTGGCAACTCTACTCTCTTTAGGGTTGCCATGGGTTGGCATCAACTCCATGGCAGTGAGTGAGTTTGTTTGTTTATAGTAAGTCTGGTTCTGACCCTCCACCCCCCACCCAGATTTGGTGTTGCCATTTTTTTGCTAGTTTATTTAAATGGTAATATATCTGTGCCAAATTTGTAGAATCTCTTTGCTCTGTATCCTGTGATTGCTAATAGCTCAGTTTTAAAAGATGTATTTATTTTTAAGCCTGGCTGTTTAGGGTTTAGCCTTGTATTAGTACAGCTTAGCAGGCAGCCAGTTAATCATTGCTTGCATGTAAACCAGGTGCTAATGATCTACATATAACCCCTTCTGGAGGGGACGGACATCAGAAAAGTGGGTGAGGGGAGACTTCGGACAGTGTAAGACATGAAAAACTAATAATGATTTATAAATTATCAAGGGATCATGAGGGAGGAAGGGGGAGAAGTGAGGGGGAAATGAGGAGCTGATTCTGAGGGCTCAAGTGGAAAGGGGGTGTTTTGAGAAGGATGCGGGGCAATGAATGTACAAATGTGCTTGACACAATGGATGTATGCATGGATTGTGAGAAGAGTTGTAAGAGCCCCCAGTAAATGATTTACAAAAAACAAACAAACAGAACAGTTCAGTCCTGGCTGATGGAAACTAGGGTGGTTGGTATTGCATAGCAACCAAATCTCTTCAGTGCTGATTTTGATCTGAAAACAGGCAGCGGTAGTCAGCTCAAAGATGGTCTCCTGTTGGCATATGTTCATGGCGACATGGTCCACCACCATTTTTGAGCTGGGTACCACTGCCTATTTCCTTTTCAGGTCAGAATTTGATGTTCATGAGGTCTGGTTGCTGTGCAATATATATTTTGCCCTTGTTTCTGTCAGCCATGACTGAACCAATTTGATCCTGTTTGAAATTGTAGCTTAAACATCTCATTTCATTAAAATTTCTCTTTTATACTAATCATTCTTTTTGTGTCTGGAAATTCAGCCTTCCCCAGCATTTACTGTGATTGCTCGCATTTCTCCTGTGTGTATGTACAGGCTCATGGTCTGTCCGGGAGAGCATTGCTAGTGCTGTGAGGTGCTGTTGAGTCCGTTCCCACCTTGGCTACCTGTCTGTGTTCAACAGAACAAACAGTTCTTGGTTCTGCACCATCCTCCAATGGAGCTTACATTGGAAGCCACTGTTGCAGCTACTGCGTCAGCCCCTCTTGTCAGGACCTCCTCTTTTTTGCTGCCCCGCTACTCTACCAAATATAATCTTGCAAATGCTTGGCTACTACGTACTTTAAGTTTGTAGGTTTGAGTCTGCCCAGAGGTACCTTGGAATAAAGGTCTACCGATCTACTTTAGAGACATTATCCATTGCAAACCCTGTGCAGCACAGTTTGAACACACGTGAGTTCGAGCTGACTCTATGGCTGTTATTTTTGGCATCTTTCTGTTAAATTTCTGTACTGTTAACCAATATGTGGACTGCGGCTTTAAGTTAGGGGATCCATCTTTCTTCTTATTTCTTTGCCACCAAGAATGACCATACTGTTTGACAAGTTTTATTTTTTCCTTCTATTTTGTACTTATCTCCAAATCAGGTCAGCTCCCTCTGGAGATAAATTGTAGATCTGATGATTTTTAAGGCTTGCTGCCCCATGTGATTACTATGCCATTTCAAGTGGGATGGGAGAACACAGAGTCTCAGACTTCTTTCCTGGAGTTCAGTGGCTTTTCAAGAGTAACCACTTCCTCATTTAATTTCTACTTCGGGCCAATGTCTAGAGCCTTTGAGTGATTGTTTAGACAGATTCCTCCAGGGTTCCCCCTCCTGTTTTATCATTGCTTTTTGTGGAAAGGATTTGCTGGTACATTCCACCATACCATAAGTTACCCTTCTCTCTACCTTGATTAGTACCGTATGTACTTGAGTATAAGCTGACCCGAATATCTGCCAAGGCACCTAATTTTCCCATAAAACGGCATAAAAAATGTGCTGAAAAACTCACCTTATATACGAATATATACGGTAATCACTACCACCAACCAAAAAATTGAGACCTGGTATAATAGGGATTTTTTTTTTTAAACTGGAAACAGGAACAACAAATTTTTAGCATTTCTGAATTGTGGAATAAATAAATTTAAAAAAAGGCCACATGAGATGAAACAGCACATTTTCTTACTGTATCCTGTGTCACCAGAAATCCGGTATTTCATCCCGGAGCAGCAGTCAGTTTACTCACTCTAATTCACTTACAGAATTAAATTATTTTCTGCAGCCAGGAACGACTTTCTACAAATGACTTTCTTCAGAAAGGAAGAAAATATTCCAAAGTTGATTGTGGTGATGATTTCATAACCCTTCTTCATATGTTTGAACTATTGAGTTGTATGATGTGTTCATATAGTTCAATAAAATATTAAAATAATTAAATGACTTCCTGAAGCATTCTATCACATATAACTAAGTAAAATAATCAGTCACTAAGGATACTGAATAATATTCTTTAACTTGTAGTTTTTTCCTTCTTAAGATTTTTCTTTCTCCTACATTTTCCTTGTAAGTATTTTTGATAGATTTAAAACACACCTTTGTAAAAGCCACAAGATCTGAGTGTCATAAATGATCTGCTCTCGGTCACTAACATAAAGGTGTGGGCCTGAGCTCACCTACTGGTGCTAACGAAGGAAGGCAATCTGCTTCCAAAAAGATCATTTCCAAGACCTGTTCTGCTCGAGGACATGTGAAATCTGTTGTTCTTTTTTTAAAGCCACCTATTATAAACATGATAATACTCTGTAATTTTGAAAAAGCATCTGTAATCTTACTATATCTTTCTTTAGGCCTTACACACAGTTTAGGTAACTATTACTCATTTATTACTGATTTCTAAAAATGTTTATATTCTTTTCTTTTTTTTCCTTAAGACGGAAAACCAGTTTAAGAGACTAAAATTATGGGAAACACGGACAAAAGACTAGTGGGCAGGACTAGATGAAACATTCTTAAAGTGTCAAGTTGCCTGGGCGGTCCAGACCAGAGACAGGTCATTGCAGGGGTGGATGGGGACCCCGGATAGAGAAGGCCAGGTGGAGTTTCTGGCTTTCCTGGGGCTGGGGTGGGTTTTAGCTTACTCACCTGACTCTCTTCTCTGGGCAGTGCAGGCTCCTCAGGGCGCAGGTTCAGATGGAGCAGTTCCAGAAAGCCCTGGAAGCCTCATCCTATGCACCCAGAGCCCCTGTAGCAGGAGTATGTTGAGCAGTGTCCCAAGGACACAGCCATCCTCTGTGCTTGAGGAGGGGGCATTGGGTTCCCCAGAAGGTTGCTGAGGAACTAGGAGTTCTCATAAGGCTTGGGGTTGCAAGTGAGGATCCCCAAGAGGGCCTGGGTGGAATTGTTTATACTCCTAATGACATTAAAACACAACTATTCCTGATCTTTTAGGGTGGAATAATTAATGATGGGTCTGAATTGATTGGTCCTCCAGAAGCTTCCTCAGATTCCCTCCTCGAGAGCTTTGCTACAGGAAGTACAGAAGGTAAGAGATTGTACTTTACCCATTTCAGTAGTTTTGATTGCTAAAGACTCTTACTGTATATACTTGAGTATAAGCCGATCCAAATATCAGCCGAGGCACCTAATTTTACCACAAAAAATGCATAAAATGTGCTGAAAAACTCGGCTTATACATGAGTATATATGGCATATTACCAAAAAGCAGAAGGATATAGAATTTGAAGGTATTTAATTGAGTCTTGATATTTTTTCTTTGCATTTTAATGTCACTGATGTGAGGATGAATCTTACATTGATAATCTATATTTAATTGGAAGGTCTTTGTAGTGGTATATAAAATAATGATTTAGTGTGTAATTGCTGGCTTCTTAGACTTGATGACATATTCAGGATCTATTATTGCCTTGTACACAATGCTCCACTAAACTTCACTTCATGTCATGTTCAGCCTTTTAGACATAATGTAACCTTAAGACGTAGTGTAGACTCGTAGATGTAGTGTAACCACTATGCCACCAGGGCTTCTCTAAAGACGAGAATATTTCTCGATTGTTTTTTTATGAGTAACAGGTACGGAAGAAGAGGCAGCTTTATGATTCTAAAGTGAGAGGCAGCCACAAACTCATCGCAATGTTATTTTTGTGAGGGTGTGTACTGATGTTGTACGTCAGCAGTCATACTGATATAAATCTGTTCAAGCCAGTTCTCATCTTGATTGAGTAGGAACAAATTCCTTTCCATTTTGTGGATGTGTGACACCCTTAAGAGCCCTGATGCTGTAGTGGTTGTGCCCACATGGTCAGCAGTTCAAAACCACCAGCAGCTCTGAGGGAGAAAGACTGGGCTTTCTAGTAAACAGTTACGGTCTCCGAAAACCACAAGGATTCCATTTTGAATCAGCATTGACTCCATGGCAGTGAGTTTGGTTTTATTCACACACTTAAAAACTTTTCTTTCGGTGCTATCACATTAAGAATGGTTAGTTGACCTTTTATTTTATCTCATGGTTGTTCCACAACCAAGCAGAAGTCCACTAGTGTTCTGTGTAAAGTATGGGGACACATGTCCAGAGCTCTCCATTGAGCCCCTAACACTTCAGCTCTATCCTGATTCATCCAAGGCCATAAAAAAAACCCAGTGATTTTACTTTATATTCTGGCTTTTTTGGGGGCGGTGAGGGAAGGTAGGCAAGGGGATTCCGATCTTGACTTTGTTTTGATCCGGGATTCTCCTTAGGCTTTGGAAAATTTACCCCCTGCTTGGAGTCTCAATATGATTCCCTTTCTAAAACTAGTTTCCTTGAGAAAGGGACTTGTCTTCGTTGGGTCTAGTGCTGTTGTAACAGAAATACCACAGTGAATGACTTTAGCAGATACATTTATGCTCCCACAGTGTAGGAGGTCAGAAGTCTGAATTCAGGGCATCAGTTCTAGGTGAAAGCTGACTCCTGTGGGCTCACAATGTCGGAGGAAGGTCCTTGTCGCCTTTCAGCACCTGTGGGCCTGATGTTCTTTGCAGATCTCCATATGTCTTGGCATTCATCTCTCCCTGGACCTAGAAGGTTCTCAGTGCAGGAACCCTGGATCCAAAAGACATGCTCTACCCTGGCTCTTCTTTCTTAGTGGTAGTAAGGTCTCTTCGTCTCTGCACGCTTCTCTCTTCTTTGATCTTTTGTGAGATAAGAGCTGATGCAGGCCTCACCCGAGGGAAACTTTCCTTTCATTTCAAAAGGCCTGTGACTTGAATAAGGGTCTTGTATCTCACCCTAATCCCGTATAACTGATTGGCTGATCAAATAGGGCACGTCATGGGGGGATAACGATATCATTACATAATTGCCACACTGTATTTTTACCTAACTGCGAAACCACTGAGAATCCTGGCCCAGCCAAGCAGACATACATTTTTAGGGGACACAATTTAATCCATGACATGACTCTTGTGGGATAACCTGATCTTATTGTTGTAGTATTAAATTAAAAAGATGGCGTGGGGGAGTGGGATGCCAGCCCCCACCCGCTGCTACTACTATTACTACTACTCGGATTCAGTAATGCACAATTGTACGGTTGAGATATATAAGTATTATATTAAAGTCATCGAGAGCATGAGAGGTAATACAATAATACAGTCAGACATATTCCATGATAGCATTGCTCACCTCAGCCTAGCTTGGTGGTCCACGTGGAGAGAGGGGGAAGGGAAGGAGGGTAAGAGAACAAGGGAGAGGGGAGTGACCAGGGAGTGAGCAGCAAGGAGCTCAGAGTCAGAGAGGAGAGATCTATATTGCTGACTCACACCTATATACCTTTTGGAGGCATGCCAGCCCACTAATTACAGGTAGAGACATATATCACAGGGAGGAGCTGCACTATAGGTTACACAGCAATGAGAGGGTGGTCTAGGGGGTGGTCTCTGGGTCTCCATAGGAACCATTATCAGTAGGGTGGAAACCCCTCCTACAGGAGCCCTTCCATTGTCCCCAGATGCAGGGAGCAGGCCCACCCCTGTGGAGGGATGAGACAGCAGTCTGGTAACTGATTGCCTTCAGGGGAGGGAATGCCTGCGCATCCGACCTCCCCCCACATATTGTGTCAGAATGCTCTTACTCCTGAGAAAGAGAGGAGTGGTGCTTTCCCCTGTAAAATGCTCAGATCCTGTGACATCCTACAGAGGACAGAGTATTCAATGCAGAGCGTGCCCTGGTGGTGCAGTGGTGAAGTGCTCAACTGCTAACAAAAATGCCATTGGCCTGAATCTGCCAGTGCTCCGTGCGAGACAGCGTGGCAGTGTGCTTCCATAGGGATGGAGATGACAGCCTTGGGCCCTGTGGGGCATCTCTAGTCCCTAGGGGGTGGAGTCAACTTCATCATCATTGTTTTCTTCTTCCGACGAAGAGTACAGTTCTTGGAAAGGCAGGATGTTTCTTTCTCCTTTAGCTTTTTCACACGGGAACTTAGGGTGTGTGATTGGAGAGGGTTATATTCTGGTGGCTATCCAGAATAAGCTTATGTTGATAGACGGAGTCCTCCATGTTGAGAGACGGGATAACCACGGGCCGGGGGCCATACTGTGCTGGATTCTGGGACAGGTAAGGAAGGAACATGATCAGTAGGAACGACTTCCTGGGAGAGAGTTCAGGGTAAAGAGGTAAGTGCATTAGTTTTATAAGAAATATGACCTAAAGCTAAGGCGAGCATGTAATTTTCTGTCCACATTGGGACACTGCTGAGAATTAGAGGAGGCTGTTGACAACTAGACGAAAAGAGCTGCATCAAGACTCCTTGAGCAAAGTGGACAGTCTGGGTTAGCTGGTGAAAAGTCACTGTGTCAGGGTTTATCTTGGACGTTTAAAAGAAGCAGGTTTTTCTTGGAAGGATATATCTTTCTTTTAACTTTTATTAATTTTTATTTTAAGCTTAATTTATTCCCAAGCCATACGTTTTTGCTTCTTCAGTGTCTTCTGGGGCATCTTTTACTTCTGTGCAACTTCCTCTTCTGGTTTAGGACCAATTTGTGCCTTCTCAGTAAGGATTATTTCCGAGTGGCAAGGGAGCTCATGTAGGGGTTAATCTGACCATGAGTACTGCGTGTTCAGTGGCAGGTTTTAGGGGCTTTGTTCACGTGGATGTGCTCAATGACCACAAAATCCATCTCTAAACCTTAAGTTCAGCATGATTTCCTGTATTTTTAAGTATGTGCAGCAAAAATTCACTCTTTTTGGGCCACTGACCCCATGTCCATGAATATTTGGCTTGGACACATCCACTAACTCTGCCATTGTAACAGTGGAATAACACACTGCTTCTGCCAAGTGACACCGCTCAGATACTTATTTGATGGCTTTCTGGATATACATGCTCTTGAGGGACCCAAGGATTTGACCCTCTTGATTTGCATGATTTTATGGGGTTTTTGGATTTAAGGGATTAGCCAACCATTTTCACAGATCATGTTGGGCTGTGACGGGAAGCGGTGGATGTGCCTTTCTTGGATAAGATAGATCTTTCTTTACAGGAAGGTGCTCTTCTAATGTTGAGAGAAACTGGCGCTGTGTCGTTTTTAAAAAGCTCAGAAAAAGACAGAACATGTAGATACAGTGCTGGTATTTTATCCTGTCACTACATCATTTTGTTCCTATACATTACAATCTTGAAGAATGAAAGACTTGGACGTGGAAGTGCTGTTAGTGCTTACCCGCCCCCCCACCCCCCTCCCACCCCCAAGCCTTTATGCCTGGCTAATGAATCCTGCTGAAAGACACTCTGTTGACAAATATAAATAAATCAAAGTGTCAGACAGCCTGCCAGTTCATTGTTATGTGAGAGGGGAAAATGGCTTTTAAATATCATGAGATTGTCTGGTGTAGTGAGCAAGTGGAAGATTTACTTTCATCCCTAAAAGTCTACAAACCCCAGGGACAACCAGAGGTGTGGGCATTTAGTAGCAACGAAGCCGGCGGCCAGCCCAGTCACAGTATGCAGTGTCCCGGAGGGTGGTAAAGGGATGGGGACTAGCTGTGGCTTGGACTTCGAATCAGAATGTGACGAGGTGATTCACTCCATAACAGCTCTTCAGTGTGTAGTATTTTAAATGGTATTTAGAAGGTGAGTTGTCATTTTTTGTATATACTCATGATCTAGCTTGTCAGTGGAATGAGCCAAAGGGACAGATTTTAATGTATAGACTTGCTGTTTCAAGGTCCTTCAGGTACAGGTAGAAGGACATGGCAAGTAGATCACTTCTGAGAGAACAGATGTAGAGGCTAAGTCATTATATTCTTTTAGTACCTTAAAAATGGGCTTCCTGCATGTGATAGTCCAGGTTGAATAGAGAAATAAATCCAGAGACACTCATATGTGTGTAAGAGAGAACTTTATATCAAAGAGTAATTGTGTATTAAGAAAACATCCCATTCCAGTTTAGTTCAGGTCCATAAGTCTGATATTAGCCCAGATGTCTGATACCAGTCTATAAATTCGATTCAGACTCACGCAATACATGCAGACACCGAATGCAGGA